CAGCACCAGGTTGTCCTTTTCCAGGAGCGTCTGGGCTCTCGATCCCTCTCCTCCCCTCCTTGACCAGCGGTCGCCATTCGGCACATCTCTCACGTGTTTTTCCATGGCCCCGTGTGCAGTCCAGGGGCCCCGATGGAGAGGGGCATGTCCTGCCCCACTCGCTGCTTGCTCGCCCCTCCCTTTCGCATCGCCTGTCCCGCGGCACTCGCAGCAGCGTGCGATTGGGCCCCTTGCCCAGGTCTCTCTGTGTCACCCAAGAAGCCTGGATCCTCGGCCTCCCCCCCCCGTCGGCGGCGAACGAGGGTTGGAAGTGAGAAGGAGAAGGCCTTCTCAGAAGGCTCGGAAGTCCTCCGGCCTTCTGAGAAGTTTTCTAAGCCTTCCCCGAAGACAGAAAAGCTTCTTAGACGGCGCGAGGGCTTCTGAGAAGTCCCGCCGCCTTTGAGAAGGCCTTCACCTTCTCACTTCCTCCTCTCGCTCGCCGCCTATCCCGTCCTCGATCCTCGACACTGGAGCCAGCACAGGCGAGCCACTCGCGCACCCCGCAACCAAATCTGGTGCAGCTTCTCACCCTGACACGTCTCTGAAGGTCCGGGGGCCCGCAGACGCTCCCGTGGAGGCGGACCAGGGCTAAAAGCCTCCTCGAACCCAGAAGCTCGAGCCTAGACTCACGTCGGGCCTGTCCCTCTACAGGAGGAAACTTCAAAAATGGTCAAAACATAGGGGACGATGTTTTGAGTACTTTTTCCCACTTTGGGGGTATTCTGGTCCTATTTTTTGATTTTTCGTCCAACATGCGCCTGTAGGGGGACATGCCCGACCTCAGCCTAGGCCCCCCACCTCCCTGCCCAATCTGCTGCAGTTTTTCACCTAGGATCCGTTTCTGACGGCCCTGAGGCCACATGCGAACCCTGCCTCACCACCCCACGGTTTCTAGGGGGGAGGTGGGGTTCACTTCGTTCGGCACCTCCCAACCGAAGTGAACCCCGCCTCCCCCCTCAGAACTCGTGGGGTGGTGGTGAGGGGCCGCATGTGGCTTCCTGGAAGACGCACCCCGGAGGCCGACTGGGGCCGAGAACCTCGAACTCGGAGCCCCGAGCCCGGCTCCCCCCGCCCACCTCCCTGCCTGCGAGACCTGGTGTTCGGCGACCTCGCACCCCCCGCCGGCTCCACCGTGCGCCCTTCGCCCCGCCGCAGGAGCAGAAGGGCGAGGAGCTCGGGAAGCCGCTGCGCCGGCGGCTCAGCTGCAGCCAGCTGCCGGCAGGGCGGTCCGGCGCGATGTGGGGCTTCTGATCATCAAAACTCAGGAGGGGAAAAACACACAGACACAATTAATCGTCGATTCCTAGGAAAATATTGGAAAATACGGGAAGTGGGGTGGAAGACAAAAACCCAGAAAATATGGGACAATATGGGGGATATTGAATCGCTTCGCTCATTCCGCCGGCCCATACAGTCTCATGTCTGCCGTTTGCCCGAGGGCCTGGTGGCAATGCGGCGCTTTGGGGTTATTTTGCCAGGCGTCTCGGGAACCTCTTGGAGGCAGTGTTGAAGCCTCTTGAGGCCCCGTAAGGGCCGTTTGGGGGTCGTTGGGGCTTCTTGTTGGGCTTCTTGGATGGTTCTTGGGGCGTCTTGGGGGACTTATTGGCGGGATGTTGGTGGCTTCTGAGGTGCTCCTAGGGGCAGAATCCCCCTTTGGGCGCCTATTGGGCGGTCTTGGTGCTCTCTTGTGCCGTCTTGGGGTTATCTTGGGCCGTCTTGGGCCGATTTTAGCGGATTGTTGGGCTGTCTCGGGGCGATGTTGGGGGCTATTTGCGTAGTCTGAGGCGCTGTGAAATTCGAAACGCCGTTCATGCGGGAAGTGTACATGTTCCTCTGGGAATGGGACGAGACCATGCCAGGGTTGTGGGTTGTAAGCCTGTTGGATGTTCGTTGGGATACCGTGTGCTCGCGGCAGCGTTTTGGGGGCTTCCTGTGGCCGCTTGGGGGCCTCTTGGTGGCTTCTTCGGGGCCTTCTGAGGGGCTCTTGGGGGCCCATGGGGGCCTCTTGGGGACCTCTGGGGGCCTCCCGGGAGGCTCTTAGGACTGAGGGCTCGAAATGTTGTTTCGTGGTCCCCCTCTGGGGCCGTTCTTGGGGCCCTCTTGGGCCGTCTTGGGGGCGTCTTGGGCTGTCATGGGGCGCTCTTGGGCCGTTTTGAAGCCCTCTTGGGGGCCTTTTGGGCCGTCTTGGGGCGATCTTTGGGGCCTCTTTGGTCGTCTTGGAGCGTCGGGAAGCGGAAAAGGCGAGAATGCGAAAATCCTTCAAAAATCTGAGGGAAATCGATTCATTTTGCCTCTTGGGGACCTCTTGGCAGGGCTCTTGGAGGCTTCTTGGTGCGTCGGGGAGCCATCTTAGGCGTTTTGGAGCGATATTATGGCGTCTTGGAGCTCTGTTGGACCATATTGAGGGCCTCTTGGGGGTCTCTGAGCTCTTCTCGGGGCTCTTGGGAGGCCCTGAGGGCGGCGCCCAGGAGCAGAACCATCCCCGACAGGGAGTTGCCCAGGGACCTGGTCAGGGTACTTTTCGTCCGGGGACCCCCAGGGGCCGCCCCGCGCGCGCGAACTAGAAAATTGTTAAGCAGTTACCGGAGATCTTAGCACGCCTCTGGCCCGTTGGGCCGGCGAATTTTTATTTGTGTGTATTTATTTGTGTGTCCTGGGGCCTCTTAAAAAAACAAAAGAACCCCTAAACCTAATTCTAGGCCTCCTAGATCGGGTCGGAGTGGATGGGGTCGGGGGATCGCGCCGCATCGCCGACGCATCGCCGATGCATCGCCGATGCGGCTGGATGTGGAGCCCGATTTGCTTCACGTCGGCGTTACCGATGCATCACCCACATCGCCGATGCATCGCTGGTGCATCGCCGATGCATCGCCGATGCATCGGCCTCATCTAGGAGGCCTCAACTATTAACGCGATGAAGACGCGGCCTCATTGAGGTCTCCGTCTTCGCATGAGGGATCATGAATCTGGGCCGTTTGGTCTGATACATCTGCAGAGAGACCCCCTATCCCTAATGTTCTTGGCCTCCCAACTCAGGTCGCCTCCCAAAGGGTCAGGGGTCCTTCTGCCGTGGAGGCCCATGCCAAGAAACACCCTGCTTGCCTCCAGGGTGCCCTTGGTTTCCTGGGCTTCGATGGTTTCGCTATGGAGAGCGTGAAGCTCCCCCACCAAAAACCAGTGGACGTCCTGGGGTCCCAGGGTTGGGTTTCTTGTGGCAGGTTTCTTGTGTCGGGGTAGCGTAAGACCCGGGTTTGCCAGGACTCGGGTTCGCCATCGTTTTTTGACGACCGCGATTCGGATTTTGACGAGTAGGAGTTTCGTGGGATGTCTGCAGCGGGAGGCCTCGTCAAAACGCAGGCTCGGCCTCGTCGTTTTTTTTGACGACCTCGTCGGGGATTTTTCCGAGCCCCCTGTACCCGGGTCTTACGCACCCCTGATTGTGGACTGACCTCCACTGTGTTGCTACGGTAGGTCTGCGTCGTGTCGACCAGCGGCGACCCCAGCGCGGGCGTTCAAGGTTGAACGCCGCCGGCGACCCAGAATCGATCGATGTTGAACGATCGGACGTTGCGGCAGCGGCCAATCGTTCAAGGTTGAACGATCCCTGCGGTGTCAAAAACCAACGCCGGGGTCGACACGACACGAACCACGTTTTCACTAAACCACGTTTTACTAAAGGGAGGTCTGTCCATCCCCGAGTTGCTAGTCGTCTGCCGCGACGGAGCAGGAGGGGGGGACGGGCGCGACGCTCCGGGGGGCGCGCGTCGGCCGCCGGCGTGTGTGCACCGCCTGCGCCGTGTGTCAGGAGGGAAAGAAACACACGGACACAAATTCATCGTCGACTTCCAGGAAAACATGGGGAAATATGGGAAGTGGGGGGGAAGACAGAAACCCAGAAAATATGAGAAAATATGGGACATCTTATTTGTGTGTATTTATGTGTGTGTGTGTGTGTGGCTTGGGGCCCCTTCAACAACGTTGGCGCTGACACACGCTCGTCAGGACCATGGATCGCTTCGAGTCGCAGAGGAGAAAACGCCGTATACATAGCTCTTGGCGCTCCGCGCGGGTGTCTTGGATCCGCGCGGAGCGCCCAAAGTTTCTGTTTATGGCGTTTTTTCTTCGTTTACCGAGGGGGAGAGTGTCGATCCCATATCACCGGCTGTCGCAGAACAGCTCGGCCACGCGCAGAGTGGGGTGGGGGGATGGGGGGGGAGGCTTTTCAGGAACTGCTTCTTAGAAGGCGCGGGCCTTGTCTGTAGACGTAAGGCTGGGGCCCTCTAAGAAGCCAGGTGCTTCTAAGACACCTTCCCCCCTCATCCTACCCCCCGAATGCGCGCCGCCAGTTGGCGCTGACACACGTTCTTCAGGACCATGGATAGGTTCGAGGGGGAGAGCATCGATCCCATATCGCCTGCTGTCGAAGAGCAGCACAGACTTTCGGCGCTCTGCGCGGATCTCTTGGATCGGCGCCGCGCCCACCTGGCGGCGCCTCTGGCGTCGCCCCTGGCGCGCCCTGCGCGCCCAGGAGAGGGGTCCGGCGCGGAGCCGAGGAATCCGCGCGTACCTCCAACAGTTTGTGTTTATGTAGTTTTTCTTTTTTTGTACCGAATCGACCACCAATCGATTATTGTTACGTCGGGCATGTCCCTCTACAGGAGGAATATCCAGAAATAGTTCAAAATAGTTAGGGGATGATTTTCGGATTGTTTTTGATCATTTTCGAGTGGTTTACTATTTCCCAACCATCCTGTGGTGTTGGGCCCTCGTTTTGAAGAGACAGCGCCCCGCGTCTCCTCTCCTCTCCTCTCCTCTCCTCTCCTCCTCCTCCCCCTCCTCCCTCTTCCCATCCGCCTTGTCATCGTCATCGTCATTGTCATCATCGTCATCATCATCGCCATCGTCATGATCCACATCATCATGATCATCACCATTGCCATCGTCAGCGACCATCGCCATCAGGACCCTTCCACTTTTTCCCAACCATCCTGTGGTGTTGGGTCCTCGTTTTGAACAGTCCCCCGCGTCTCCTCTTCTCCTCTTCCCCCTCCTCCCATCCCTGTCTCTGCTCTCCGCATATCCATCCCATTCTGGCACACCCCTCACACGGTTCGTGGCCCCATAGGGAGCTCCACCGAAGGCCCCAGTGGCAGGGTGCGCATGCGTCCCCCCGCCCATTTCGGCACGCCCCTCACGAGGATCGTGTCCCCATAGGGAGCTCCACCGAAGCCCCCGCGGCAGGGTCCGCATGCGCCTCCCCGCCCATTTCGGCACACCCCTCACGAGGGTCGTGGCCCCGTAGGGAGCTCCACCGAGAGCGGTACCCACAACGCAGCTCTCACGAGTGCACATGGTTGGGTCCTTCGCCAGGATCGCTTTCATTTTTCGTCCAGAATCCACCTGTAGGAGGACACGCCCGACCTAAGAGTACTGCTCGCCGACAGGGTCCCCCGAGAGCCCACCGCACCCAGGAGCGCACGGATCCGCTCTCGGGGGGCCATCTCCGACCCATCCGCGATGCGTCGCCGATGCCAGCTCGCTGTCTCCCCCCCTCCCCCCCCGCTGGAGTTGAGTCGGGCACGTCCCTCTGCAGGAGGAACATTCAAGCATAGCAGCAAAAATAGTCAAGATTTCGTAATAAAAGGGAGGGGGTCTGAACCCTCCAAGACGAGCCATTTCAGACCTCCCCCGTGGGAGAACCCTCCAAAACATCGTCCCCAGACCCCCCAGGCCCTCCAAGATAGCCTGGAAGAGACCCCCCCCCGAAATGAGACCCCCCTCCCTTTATTACGACATCTGGAGTACTCTTCTGGGGACGATTTCCGTTTTTTTGTTTTCTCTCTATGTTGGAGCATTTTTTGATTATTTATCATGTTTCTCCTGAAATCCGCCTGTAGGAGGCGTCGTTCCCCCTCCGGTTTTTGGGAGGCTCTTGCCCTATCTTGGGCCTCGTGAGGCCTCCACAGATCCGGAGGGAACAGGAACACACATACACAAATCATCCAAATAATCACGGATCCCCAGGACAATATGGGAAGACATGGGAAGTGGTGATGGGGGAAAACGAAAATGAAGAAAACACGAGGAACTATAGGGAAGCCTGGGATTTGTGTGTATTCGTGTGTGTGTGTGTGTGTGTGTGTGTGCGTGTGTTGATGTGTGTCACTGGGCCCCTTAAAGGCACCCCCCTCCAGGGATCCTGGGAGACCTCTGGGAGGCCACAAGCGCTCTGGAGGCCCTCGGGTGAGGGAGGACGGCGGGATTAGGCAGGGAACGAGGAGGGGGATCTGACCAAAACATTGGGAACATGATGGTCGCCTTAGTTTCGGAATGGTCTATGAGGCGGCCACGTGTTTTGGCGGCGAGCGAGGGGGGGAAGTGAGAAGGAGAAGGCCTTCTCGGAAGGCGGCTGGACTTCTCAGAAGCCCTCGCGCCTTCTGAGAGGGTTTCTGTGTCTTCGGGGAAGGCTCAGAGAACTTCTCAGAAGCCTGGGGGACTTCCGAGCCTTCTGAGAAGGCCTTCTCCTTTTCATTTCCCCCCCTCGCTCGCCGCCAAGTCTTGGCGGCCTCATAGAGTGCTCCGCCGATGGCTCCAGTGGCATGGTTCGCGTGCGTGCCCGTGCCCGTGCCCACGCTTCGTGTTCTCATGGAGGGCTGCACCGAAGGCCCCGGTCGATGGGTTCGCATGCACGCCTGCGCCCTCCTCGGCACACCCCTCGCACCGCGAAGTCTCACAGGGAGCTCCACCGAAGGCTCCGGTGGCAGGGCTCGCCTGCCCGCGCGCACATTTGGGGACCCCCCTCGCTCGTTTCGCACCAGGGGGGGGGAGCTCCACGGGCTCCAGTGGCAAGGTTCGCCTGCGTGCCCGCCGCCCTCCTTTCGGCACACCCCTTCCCCCTCTGGTGTCGGTTTCGACCCGATCCGCCCGATAGGGTCCGCCGGCTCGACCCGCAAATTTGCTTGGTGTCGCTCAGACGTGTGGACTTCTTCTCGGCCAGGATCATCGGGAAGCACTTTTGCTCACCCTTCGAAAAAGTGCACGCCCGAAACCGACAACGTTCGCTGGGAATGGACGTCCGAGCGATGGCGAGCTATGGCCCGCCAGCATGGCTCTCGTCCTCCTAGATGGGGTCGGAGCAGATGGGGTCCGAGGATCGCTCCGCATCGGCGATGCATCGGCGATGTGGCTCGATGTGGAGCCCGATTTTCTCCACGCCAGCGTCGCCGATGCACCGCCGACGTCGCCGATGCATCGCCGGCCGATGCGGCGCGATCCTCCGACCCGATCTGCTCGGACCCCATGCAGGAGGCCTCTCATAGCCCGCCCGTGGGGTCCGTTGGAACCCGCCGCGTCGGCTGCTCGGGCCGCCGCGCCCGCTGCAGGGTCCGCTCACCCCGGCCCGCTCGGTTGGGGGTCTGCTCCCGCCAGACCGCCACAGTGGAGGCCCATGCCAAGAAGCGCCCCGCTTGCCTCCAGGGTGCCCCGGGCTTCTTGGGTCTCGATCGTTCCTCTATGGGAAGCGTGACGTTCCCGCGCCAGAAGCAAAGGACGTCCTGGCGTCCCAGGGTGGGGCTTCTTGTGCCCGCCCCGCCCGCTACTCAGCCCGCCGGGTCGGTTGCCCGCTAACGGTGCCCGCTACTGGTGGTCGAGCCCTACTGTGCCCGCCACTGCTGCCCGCCCGCCCGCTGTTGTGCCCGCTACTGTTGGTCGAGCCCCTACTGCACCTCCGCCCAGTTGGGGTGCGCCGCACGGCCCGCCCGCTCGGTCGCGTTACATCTTCGGGGGGCCTCGCCCGTCGTTTCTCCTGGGCCCGACGCGGGCTCCGTGCGGACCCGACGCGGATCTGGCGTGGGTGTCGCCGCGGGTGCGACCACGGCTTCGGCACGGCTCCGATGAGCTCGACACGGCTTGGACGCGGAGAGGGCCCGCGACGGGACAGGCAGGGTTTTCCCCGAGGATGCAACGTGAGGGTCGCGTGCGTGGAAGTACCCATACGCCGCCCGCATCAGTATCCCGCCCGCCCGCTCGACCCGCCCGTCGGGGCCCGCCTGCCCGCCTCGGTGGTCTCGCCCCGTCTCGGGGAGTTCCCATGAGCTGGCATGGAGGATAGCGGCCCCCCAACGAGGGTACGTTCAGACGCGAAGAGGGCTGGAGTCGAGGGCATGGGGGTATACATGTCGAAGCACGCGCGGGCAACGGAGAGCGAGCTGTTTTGAATCGATGTTTACCGGTAGTTGTTACTTTGTTGGTTGGTTTGGTTGTTTGTTTGGTTGTGTATGTGTGTGTGAGTGTGTGCGTGTGTGTTTGTGCGTGTGCGTGTGTGAGTGTGCACGTCTGCGTGTGTGTGTGTGTGTGTGTGTGTGTGTGTGTGTGTGTGTGTGAGATCTGTTTCAACGACAATGGATACGACCCCTTCCCTGGACGAGCTTTCCAACGCGGATCGCTTGTGGATTGTCCCAGGGTTGAAATCTCGGCCCACGGAGTCCGAACCTTTGGGCCCTTCTTGAGATGGAACAGGTCACGACATCGGAGGTCTGGGTACAGTGGAAGCCCATGCCAAGAAATGCCCTGCTTGCCTCCAGGGTGCCCTGGGTTCCTTGGTCCTCGATGGTTCTGCAGTGGGACGCGTGACGTTGCCACACCAAGAATCAATGGACGCCCCAGGGTCTCAGGGTTTGGGTTTCTTGTGGAAGGTTTCTTGTAGTCGAGCTCCTGTACAGTGGGGCCCATGCCAAGAAACACTCTGCTTGCCTCCAGGATGCCCTGGGTTTCTCGGGTTTCGATGGTTTTGCGATGGAACGCGTGACGTTCCCAAACCAAGAATCAGTGGACGCCCCAGGGTTAAGTCGGGCATGCTCCTCTACAGGAGACATATTCAAGCATAGTCAACAAAATGGGTTGGGGACGAGGTTTCGATAATTTTTTGACCATCTATGATTTGTTGATTACTTTTGAATTCTCCGTCCACAGTCCTCCAGTAGGAGGACATGCCCGACCTGACCCAAGGGTCCCAGGGTTGGGCCTCCTGTGGTCGAGCCCCCGTATGCAGCCCTGTTCTTCGCTGCTCCTTGGCCCCCCTTCTCCTCCTCCCCCTCCTCCCCCTCCTCTTCCTCCCTCCTCCTCCTCCTCCTCCTCCTCCTCCACCTCCTCCCCCCCTCCTCCCTCCTCCTCCCTCGTCCTCTCCTCCTCCTCCTCCTCTTCCCCCTCCTCTTCCTCCTCTCGTCGTCCTCCCTCCTCCTCCTCCTCTCCTCCTCCTCTCCTCCTCCTCCTCCTCCTCCTCCTCTCTCCTCCTCCTCCTCCTCCTCCTCCTCCTCCTCCCCCGGGCCCCGCGGGTGGCGCCCGCGGCGAGCGCGGCCCGCGGGGCCCGGGCGGGGGCGATCGGGCGGGTGCTCCTCGCCGCCCTCCTCGGGGGAGTGATGATCTAGGCCTCCCAGATGGGGTCGGAGCAGATGGCGTCGGAGGATTGCGCCGCATCGTTGATGCATCGCCGATGCGGCTCGATGTGGAGCCCGATTTGCCTCACGCGGACGGCGCCGATGCATCGCCGACGTCGCCGATGCATCGCCAGTGCATCGCCGATGCATCGCTGATGCATCGCCGATGCATCGCCGATGTATCGCCGATGCGGCGCGACCCTCCGACCCCATGTACTCCGACCCCATCTAGGAGGCCTCTAGATGACTAGGGGGGGTGGATATCATGGCGGGGGGCATGATATTTCCTCAGATTTCATGGCGCCTCTTCTTATTTGATTACGTCCCTGGCCCCCCCGCTGGGCCGCGCAGATGCCGCCGGTCATGATTTGCACCCCCCCTTGGACACCCCCCTCTTGGCTGCTCCCGATCTGCTCGGGGGCGCGCGGGCACGGGTTTGGCGCGCGGTCGCCGAGTCCCTTTTTGGGTTTCCCCGGTTCTGGTGCCCCGCGCGAGGCCAGCACGGGGACCTGTGGTTCCTGGACCACAAGGCTCGAGGAACCAGACACGGCATACCCGTCGGTCGTTGACAGCAGGTACTTCTGGATGCCCAGATCCCAATCCACTTCAAGCGCCCTCCTATTTGGAGAACCGATCTGCTTCTGCTGTGTTTTGTTATTCTCTGGGAGGGCCTGGACCCAATCTACTTGGTCCACCTTCCTACTGCATGTTTTTACCTACCTCTTCCGACCGACGTGTAGACATAAGCTCGGATTCTCCGCGCATGTTTCTCGGATCTGCGTTGGCCCCCCACACTGGCGGCGCCTCCAGTGCCGCCCTTAGCGCGCTCCGCGCGCAAGGAGGGGTCCAGCGCCGATCCAAGACATCCGGGCAGACCTCCGAAAGCGTTTGGTCATGCCCGTTTCGTTCCTTTTAGAGGCGGACACCCTCCAGAAGCGCTGCGCGGTGGGCTGGAACGAGCTGCCCCGCACCCTGCGCAATTGCTTTGCCGCCGGGGCCCTGATCCAGATCGTCGCGAACTGGTGCCTCGTCCAGGCCTACTATTACCTGTTTGGTGACTTTACCGTCAGCGAGGATTGGGAGAACATCGAGTGGTATGCTGGCACGATGGATCAGTGCGGTTGCTACGCGGCGAGCGGTACGGTCGAGCGTGACTACTGTGTCTTTGCGGCGGGAGGCATCGCCGTGACTGTCATCTAGCGGAGACAGCTGCGCCGAGCCACCGCCTGCCCCTGCCTTTGGAAGCGCCCCTGCGGCCAAACGTTGGACAAACAAGACAGCTGGTCAAGCTGTTGGACTGTGCATTCCCCCAGCCGCTGCGGAACCCCGTTGGGGAACACCTGGGAGAGAAAGAGAAAGGAGGATGCGAAGGAGAAGGATAACGAGGAGGAGGACGAGGAGGAGGAAGCGGGTGCCTCATGAGGCCGCCTTGTGGCTTCCTGGGGGCCTCCTGGGAGCCTCATGGAGCCCTGGGACCTCTTGGCCTTCGGAGGCCGTTTTGGGGGCTTCTCTGGGCAGTCGTGGGCCTTTCTTTTGCGCTTCAGGGTCGTCCTGGAGGTCTGCGCGGCCGTCTTTGGGGCCGTCTTGCGGGCCTCTTGGGCTGTGGCCGTTTTGGTGGCCTACGGGGCCGTCTTGGGCCGTCTAGGTGGAACCTTTGGCCGTCTTGGGGCCAACTCCGCCGTCTTGGGACACTCTGGCCCATCTGGGCCATTTTGGAGGCATCCTGGGACCGTCTTGGAGGCAATCTTGACTGTCTTGGAGGCAGGAAGGTCTGCCAGGGTTTGTCTGAGTGGGTTGCGGATCGAGACGAAGGCCACTGGGAACCCTTACAACAATATTCTAAGCAGTGGAACTCGTTGCACGCCAATCACCACTGACAAGAGTGCTGCGGAGCGAAGACGACCACGTCGAACTACAGCTCCCCCTTGCCTTTTGGAAGCACCCATGCGGCCAAACGTTGGGCCAACGTCTGGCCAAGCTGTTGGATGATGTGATCCCCCAGATAACCTCTTTGGGGAACACTCGGGAGAGAACGACTCACGAGGATGAGAGGGAGGAGAAGGGTAACGAGGAGGAGGACAAGGACACGGAGGCCTGTTTGTGGTGTGGAGGCCGTCTTGGGGCTTCCTGGTTGCTTCCTGTGAGCCTCTCGTCGGCCCTGCAGAGCCTTCTTGGGAGCCCCTGGAGGCCTCGGAGGAACCTCTTGGCCCTCGGAGGGCCGTCGTGGGGGCCTCTCTTGGCAGTCGTGGGTCTCTCTTTGGGCGCTTTGGGGCTGTCTTGGAGGTCTGTGGGGCCGTCTTGAGGTCGTCTTGGGGGCATGGTTTGTCGTTTTGGAGCCATCTTGGGCCGTCTTTGCGGGCCTCTTGCGGGCCTCTTGGGCCGTCTTGGCCGATCGCGGGAGCCTGTCTGGCCGCCTTGGGGCATCGGAAGCTCGACACGGCGAGAACGCCAACCTCATTGAAGCACATTTGCAACAATCAAAATAATTCTAACGTCCTGGATGTCCTCTTGAAGCCTCCTCTTGGACTGTCTCGGGGGCCTCTTGGGACCCTCCTGTTTTCTCTTGGGGCCTCTTTCCTGAGTGAGCCCAGCGAGAAGCTCCCAGGATCCTGCGACAAGCCCAGAGAGCGCCCAAGAGCGGCCAAAACTCGGGGCTGTGGTCCCCTTGCAGGAGTTTTCAGATGCAAAATGGAAGACTCAAAACGACCCGAGGACACTCCTGTCAGTGCCTAGCGGCACGGTTGCAGATCTGAACGGTTGCGCTTTTTAGCGCTGGCCCGTCGGGCGGAGCCATCGGGCCTTCTTCGGCCCAGTCGAGCCATTTTGGGGCTGCTTGACGGCATTCTGGGGCCCCTAGGGGCTGCATTTGGGCAATCCTGGAAGATCTACCGTGGAAACCCGTGCGAAGAAATCCCCTGCTTGCCTCCAGGGTGCCCTGGGTTTCTTGGGTTTCGATAGTTCTGCGGTTCTGCTATGGAACGCGTGGCGTCCCAACACCAAGAATCCATGGACGCCCTGGGGTCTCAGGTTCGGGTTTTTTTGTGGAAGTTCTCTTATGGTCGAGCTCCTACTCTTCGGATGCAACTCCTGGGTGGTCACATTCTGACGTTGCCCGCTTAATCGGGCTTAATCCCGCTTTATCCAGCTTAATCTGCGGTCTAATCCGGCGTAGTAGCCCCCCAGTGGGACTTAATCCTCCGTAGTCTTTCCGACGAAGACCTCCCAGTAGTTGCCTCCTAGCCTACTGTCTATCGGGCGGGTTGGGTTAGGCGGGCAGACCCTGACGGGCAGCTCGGGCGGGCCAGCAGGCACTCTCGCCCGCCTGGTCTCTCTCTCTTCCCGGAGTGGGCCGCCGGATCTCCTCGGTTGGATGCCGTACAAGGCCTTGTACCGGTACTGGGCGCGGCGGAATGTCCAGATCAAGGATCGGGGGCGGCCAAGAGGGGGGTGATGACTAGGGGGGGGGTGGATAATATGGCTGGGGCCATGATATCTCCCCAGAGTTAAAGGCGCTTCTTCTTATTTCATTATGTCCACGGCCCCCCGCCCCTGGGCTGCGCACATGCCGCCAGTCATGATTTGCGCCCCCCCCTCTTGGATGCAAAGTAGCGTTGTTGTTCTCTTGATTCCCCGCCCCCCCCGTCCTTCTCCCTCCCCTCGTTCGCCTCCCCCCCTTTCTCTCAAAGTGCGCAGTTCCCCCATCGCACCTCGTTGGAAGCACAAGCTACAACGACGGTCCCCCGAGACACTGTGCAGCTTTTAGTTTTTTCTCTGCATGCCGGCACGCATGTGATCAGCATTTTCCATCTGTGTGCCAATGCGCCGTCAGGGCGCGGCTTCGTTCGTTCGTTCGTTCGTTTCTCTTGGATGCCCCCCTCTTGGCCGCACCCGAAAGGAGGAGATCGACCAGGAGTTGGACGAGGAGTATCAGAGGCGGTGGTCCGTCGCCTTCTTCCAAGTGGGCCACCTGGGGGAGGACGTCGACGTGGCCATGGTTGCGCGGGGGGAAGCCCGCGGTCCTCCGCTCCCCTTTCCGAGCCATCGGCTCGTTTGCGGGCAAGAGGTTTATCCATCTCCACTGCCTTTTGGAGTTTGGGGTTACCGTCCCCAGGCACCCAGGGCACAGTGGACATGGATACAAGTCAGGCCCCCAGAGGCCAGATGTTTGTCCATATTTTGGCGCCCCTAATTAGCAGGTCCACTACGCAGTGGATATGGATATGAGTCTTGCCCGCATCGCGGCCTTTGTTTCGAGTCGCTGGCCCCTGGAAGCTCTCGACCCCATCATCATGACAGTTGCCAGGGTCTCGCTGATTTCTTGCGTGGTCTGACGTGCAACTGGCCTTGCCTGGTGGTCGGGTCCCGTTCTGGTAGCATGTGGTGTAATCTGGTATGATCGGGCGCAGTGTCGCTTATTCTAGGTCTTGCTGGAAGAAAGACGGACACCGACGGATACGGACGACAGACGACGGACGACGGCGAACGACCAGTCGACGACGTTGGCGACGGCCACGACGGCAGAATACGAGGACCGACCGACCGAAGACGACCAGCGGCGACGTTGACCGACGACGGCGATGACCAACAATGACAGACGACAAACGACGACAACCGATGAAGATAACCAACGATGACAGACTTCGACGACGACGTGTGACGACGATAACGACGACGTCGTCTGGAGGCGTCCAGAGGCCTCCACACGCTAGTTTTTTCGCTCCTCGATCCCCAGGCCACCGTGGACCAGGGCGTCGCAGCGCCGATCCAATAAATCCGCGCAGAGCTACAGTCGACGCGCCTAGGGAATACACACACACACCTTTATATCTAGGGTGCCCTTGTGTCCTCGCCTCGGCGGCCCATCCTTTGCAGCTTTAATGATTGGTCGCCCGCCGCCAGGGGTCTTGCGTCCTTACCACCCGTCCTTAATGCACGTTCTGATTGTACAGTGGGAGCCCATGCCAAGAAGCACCCTGCTTGCCTCCAAGGTGCTCTGGGTTTCCTGGGAATCGATGGTTTTGCCATAGGATACTCCCACGCCGTAATTCCACGGGTGTCCTGGGTTTCTCGGGGCTGGGTTTCTTGTGGAAGGTTTCGTGTGGTCGAGCCCCCACTGTATTCGGCGTCACCCCAACATACTATTATACTATATGTGCGTCGCCTTCCCCAGGGGCGACGCGCGCACCGAGAAATCTTACAGTATACGCGTCATGGCTGGCGCTTTCTAGTCATACCGCTCGGGAAACGGTTTACTGCAAGATGGGTCTACCATATGTTCGGATCGGACGCGCGCCTCCAAGGCGGACATGTGGCAGTAGTAGTCGTAGTAGTAGTAGTAGTAGTAGTAGTAGTAGTAGTAGTAGTAGTAGTAGTAGCAGTAGCAGTAGCAGTAGCAGTAGTAGTAGTAGTCGTAGTAGTAGTAGTAGCAGTTGTAGTTGTAGTAGTAGTAGTAGTAGTAGTAGCAGTCGTAGTAGTAGTAGTAGTAGTAGTAGTAGTAGTAATAATAGTAGTAGTAGTAGTAGTAGTA